GAGCTTTGCAAAGTTTCATGTTACGGTATCTCGAGATGGATCAGTTGAGGGATGCATTTCTCCAACTTACAGAAACTGAGTTGTTTGTTTCAAAGTAAAACAGGGGGAATCAATGACCTTATTTCAGACCAAATCCAGCAGTATTTTATTCTACATCAAAAGAAGTCTGTAGAATATGTTTCAGAGAGTGAATAAATACTTAATTACACTTCATTTGTACATGTGAGGCTACGTTAGAGGCACAATAAGTGCACGTCAGAGGAGAAAAGTGTGTGAATCTGAGTGGACTGCAGCTCAGTGGAGAAACTGTCCTACCTTTGTTGTAGAATTCACAATCGTACGCTGCAGAAAGGAGACAGAGAGGCTGTTAGCAGGACCTCCAACACACAGGACAACATAAGAATAACAACACAAAGGCAGCCCTTTTAACCCTTTAAATCCATGTTCACCAGATTTGGTGTCTGAAACCCACCGCATCATCGTGTTGATAAAGTTTGGTTTACAAAAATAACCTGGTTCCATGTTTTTTCCCAGTTTGACTGAATTTTCTTTTACTACTGACTGAATTTGATTTTAAAAGACATAAAATTAAGCTTATTCACATTTCATTAGAGTCAAACAAAGACTTTGGATAAGAAAAGTTGTATTTATCTTTTTTTCAGGTTTTACAGGGTTAAGAAGCATCATATAAATACTTAGTACATATCAATTACAAATACAATTCAATTCAAATCATAAACCAAAAGTTGACTAATCAATATTTGCTCTTTTTGAATACTTAGAAGTAAAAAGTGAGTTAAAACCAACAAAGGTTCGGCAATGTGTAGAAAATCCATCTCCATCTACAAATGGTGGAGCAATCTCCAAATTATTCTACAAAACATTACACTCAAAAGTTGGAGAATCTGGGGAAATCTCTGTGTGCAAAGGGATAAAAACTAGCATTGCTAATCAGGATCTCAGCTTTCAGAATCCCTGCAAGGAGCATTAATGTCTAATCAATAGTCCTGATACACTGCAGATATTTAGTTTCTATTTAATCAATTCTAAGTACATCAGGATCTCCCACTTTTTGAGAAAAATTCATATAAATCATTAAGAAAAAGACACCTTTACAGAGTTGTTGCTTCCAAAACTAACTGGAAATGAGCCCGTTTTGACTCACGGCAGAGGGCGGGGGAGCGCCAGTCCACGGGCACGCCCTCGTGGCAGCAGCGCTGGGCGTAGGCCGCCACGCTGGTGCAGAAGCACTCGCAGTCGCCTCCACGGCTGCAGGCGCACGTGTCCGCCAGGCAGTTCATGTAGAACCAGGTAACGTCCACCTGAGCACACACACACACACACACACACACACACACACACACACACTGCTCAGCTTTCTCTGGACCCCAGAAACACAGAGCGTTACACACAGGATGAACAAACAGCTGGTTTGGATTTTCTCCTGTCATTTCAGGCCTGCCTCCAGGGTACAAAATTCGTGGGAATTTGGTATTGACCAAAATCATTTTCCATCCTCATTGGCAGAGTTCAGAGCTGGTGTCAGGGTTTGAAATCCGTGGCAATCTGCTATTAGCCAGCAGGGCTAACAGCTCTGATCAAAAGCAGCCCGATTGGTTCTGTTCTGTCTGTGTCAGCAGACTAAATCTGAATATTTCTTCGTAGCCTCGTGCTCATATTCAGAAACCAACACCCAGAAAATGTTCTGTCAGCAGATCTCCTGGAACGCTGTGGTCGCTGAGCTGTAATCTAATATTATTAAAAACGTTTTCAGCTCCTCTTGCTTGGTGGCGCGACCACGTCATGCCTCCAACGATTTCATAGAAATGATGATAAACTGCAGGATAACATGGAGGACGATGGGTTTAAAACGAAAAAAATTTTTTGTTGTTGATCCCCTGTTTATTTTGCATGTATTTGATATAAAAACTAAATCTGCCAACCCGTCCTACCCCACGGAGCTGAGCACACGACCCAAACTAACCCAATCCAGCCCAAAACTGACTAACTGGTCCAAAATGGACCCAAACTGACCCAATCCAGTCCAAAAGGGACCCAAACAGCACCTAAACTGGTCCAAAACGGACCCAAACTGGTCCAAAGCTGACCCAAACTAACCTAAACCAACCAAAAACTAACCCAAACCAGTCCAAAAGGGGGCTAAACCAGTCAAAAACTGGTCCTAAGCCTACTCAAATCAGTCCAAAATAGGCAAAACATGGTGGGACGATGACTTTCAAACAAAAACATATTTTAGATTTTTTTTTTTGTTGATTCCCTGTTTATTTTGCACACACCCAGAGTAGGACAGAGTGTTTGTTCTCTGAGACCTCTCCAGACTTGATGCATCAATCTGAACTTCTGACTCAGACCTGGCTGACAATAAACTCCTCTTTGTTTGACCAAGTCTGCCTAAGCAGAGTTTTTCCTGCAGCACCTCCACCTGAGCTGATGGAAGACGATCCTCCCATAATTCACCACAGAGGCGAAGGGCTGTTACTCACCACTGGGTGGCAGGACTGGAAGACCTCTCCGAGCAGGATGGCACACTGGCGCTTTGCAAACGGCTCTCTGAGAGGGCTGAGGCTGCAGGGGTGTCTGATGTCCGGGCTGTTCACACACTGAAGCAAGTTCAAAGAAATCAACCATTAGAGGTTCTAACGGTGGTCCACAGCTTAGAAGAGGCTGATCAGCTGACGCGTCTCTCACCTCTGTTGCCGTCCAGCTGTTTCCGAACTCCTGTGCTGTTGGGGAGGCGATGTTATCAGGCGTCCGCATCTCGTTGACCGTCTTCAGGTCAAAGTTTCCACACAGCCCACTCAGCTTCCCCTGAACACACCCGGCAGCTCTCCTAAGCTTGGCGGTTTGTCACAGATTCACTTCACATCAGTGTACATGTCAGTCCCGTCTGTACTGGGGAGCCAAACTGATCTCTGAATGAGCTGAGGGAGCTGTCATGTGTAGCTGTAGCGCAGCTTCTAGAGACCAGTGGCATTGCTGAGATCCAGGTAAGTGAAGAAGAGCTTAGGAAGAGCTGAAGAAAAGGCTGAGGAACTGCTGAAGAACAGCCGTGAAAGAGCAGAACAGCCAAGTAAGAGCTGAAAAAGAGCAGAGGAACAGCAGAGGAACAGCTAAGGAAGAGATGAGGAACGGCTAAGGAACAGCTGAGGAATGGGTGAGGAACAGCTGAAGAACAGCTGTGAAAGAGCAGAACACCTGAGTAAGAGCTTATAAAGAGCAGAGGAAGAGCAGAGGGACAGCAGAGGAACAAACAAGGAAGAGCTGAGGGGCAACAGAGGAAGAGCTGAGGAAGAGCAGAACACCTCAGTAAGAGCTGAAAAAGAGCAGATGAACAGTTGAGCGACAACAGAGCAAGACCTGAGGAAGAGCTGAGGGACAGCAGAGGAACAGCTTAAGAACCACTTCATACCTGCCACTGAGGTCCGACCTGGACGTGAACCGTGGTCTTGCGGTCCCAGAGAAGAGTGACGTCATCGTCTGGGAAGTGAATGACGGTGAAATATCCGGCCGGCCAGATGAACATCCGCTGCTTCCTGTCAATCACGCTGGACGGATTCTTCAAAGAAACAAGAAGTTTTATCCCACTTCAGTTTTCCTAATCACTTAAAACAAAGTAGAATCAACCTAAAAAGAAGTAAAAACATCTTCCAGAGTGGAAATCTAGAGCTGGAGACATGGATAGATAGTTTAGTGGTGAAAAAGAAAAAAGGGACCAGACAAAGGGAATAATTATCTGAATCAACAATGAATCCTCTAACACTGGCTCCGACTAGTGAAGAACCTCCTGATCCCTGTTTCAGTGTTTCCCAACCCTGGTCCTCAGGGCGCACCATCCTGCCCGTTTCCCAGGTTTCCCGGGTTTCCCAGCTCCAGCACACCCGGTTTGAATAAATGTGAGTTCTTTAGGCTCTGCAGGGGGCTGATGAAGAATCATTCATCTGAATCGCGTGTGCTGGAGCTGGAAAACCTGGAGAACATGCGGGGCAGCGTGTGACCGGGCTCATAAGTGTTAGCCCGATTCTTTAGTTGGAAAAGTGGATCGAAAGCATAAAAATGACAATTATTAGGTTATTAGACTCTTCACAGACTAAAACCTCTCTCTGGGTCTCAGTGGGCAAAGAGCCCTGAGATCTGGGTGATGGGCATTATCTCCTGGGCTCGATCCGCCTCCTCAAAGGAGGACTGGACACAACCAAGTCCTATTGGCCAGTTACCTCTGGGCACGAACAGGCCAGGTCCTAATTCATGCAGAGGACAGGAATGTGCTAACAAATGGTGTGTGTGTGTGTGTTGACCTAAAAGTGGATCTAAGGCAACAGAGAGAGAAAAAGAGAGAAAAGAGAGTCCCTGGGAAAAGCCAGAGACTTTAACACAAAAATATAGTTCTATAAAGAACTAAAACAATCAGTAATTTACATAGATCATGTGATAGCATACAATGCTAAAGTGAGTAATTAGAGCCAAGTTCTAACATCAGCAGGAGGCTCTGTTCATCAGAGTTTGGTCTAGTTGGGCCACGGATGGTGGCGGGGGGCTGGACAGTGACCTCCGACCCCCGGAGTCTCTTACCGGCTTCCCCGAGTCGTCGTCGAACGCGACGAAGGATCTCCCGATGTTGACCAGGAGGGACTTCCTGCAGATGGGCCCGCTGTCGAAGCAGTCCACGTTCTCGGCCGTGATGCTGAGCATCGCGTCAGCACCGCTCTGAGAGGAGGAGACGGTCACTGATGAAACATTTACAGAGCTGGACCTGCTGCCATCGTGTTCCCACACACAACCTGCAGGGAGTTTGTGGCTCTGCGTCCCCATTTCAGACCTCGGTTTCTACTAATCCTGCATTTTTCATTTGAAAATAAAATGTTTAAGTCAGTTTATCTGGCTGAAATCTGGGTACCGAACAGATCTATCACCATTCAGATTTTTTCCGAATTTATCTAGAACTTTACTGACACACATCATTGCAGGAAAGCTTGAAAAATACAGGACATAGTAGAGAAACTATTTTATTTCCACAAAGCAACACCTTGAGCTGAAAGAAATCCAACTTTTCTGTGAAAGTTTTCTTTTTTGTATACGAGCTGCTTTTGATTTATGAAGACTAAAACTTCAGCCAAAGGAAAAACTACTTTGTACCCTAAAATGACTCAAAATGAACATTTAAGGGAATAAAGAGTCAGAATGGGTACCTTTACGAGGTAGACTTTGCAAGCTCCGACGTAGTCAAACAGCAGCCCGTCAAAGGTCCTGTAGTGGCGGTCTCCGTAGGCCGTGCACATGGACGGGCACGGGCGAAACGTGCACTGGAAGCTCCCGTGCTGGCACACACTGCAACGACAGCCACGCCGCGGTCATTCAGCATCCACTCGTTCCCACTTAGTACAAAGACTTAAGCTTAGACATAGACAACTTTATTGTCACTGCAAACAGAAGAAAATGTTGTGGCATACATCTTATGACTGTCACGTCTGGGGGAATGTCTGGTGTGTTGTCATGTCTTGATTAACTATTGTGTACACCTGGGGGTCCCTTCTCTCATGTGTTTAAATAGTCCTCGTTTCCCCTTGTCCTGTTCCAGTGTGTTTTCGTCTTTTCGTACCTTTGCCAGTGTGTCTTTCGTTCCTCTGTGTTTTCGTTCCTCGTCTTGTTCACGTCTTGTAAGAGAGATTGTGATTTAATACTTTGTTCATCGTCTTGTTTACTTGATTTGATACTTTGCTCATAGTCTTGTTAATTTTGCTTTGATACTTTGTTCATAGTTTTGTCTGCCTTGTTTTGAACTTTGTCTTGTCATCCACTCCTTTTGAGTGCGCTTTTGGTTCATTAAAACCCTTTTTTGAACCTCACCTCCGCAACTGAGTGCTCCCTGAGATCTCCTCTATGACAATGACAAGAACAGAATCCAATAATCTAACAGTCTGATGGCAACAGGGAAAAAGCTTTTGTATAGCCTGGTGGACCGGATTCTGTGGAACCTCTTCCCAGAGGGCAGCAGGGAGAGCACATCACAGTGGGGGTGTGAGGGATCTCCGAAGATGAGAGATATCCTCAATGGAGGGAAGAGGAGCCCCATGATCCTCTCTGCTGTCCTCACCACCTTCCACACCACACAGAGAGCAGCTGGTCAGAAGGCTCTCTATGGTGCATTGGTAGAAGGTGGTGAGGATGGGCGGGCCGGGTGGGCTCTCTTCATCCTCCACAGGAAGTACAAGGACCTCTGTGAAATGGTCTATTTGGAGAGCAGGATGGATGGAAGCGGCGTTCTGCAGGGGTCAGCTTTTAGTTTAGTTTAGTTGTTAATCCACCGGTCACACCGCCTTCGAGGCGTGGGCCGCTGGGACTTGTGCCCGAAGCAGTCCAAAACCGCGTAAACAATAAAAAATAGTTGTAGTTACCAGTCCAAAAACACTACTTGACTGTAACTCCAGCAGCCGTTGGCGGTCAAGTACTGATCGACCGTGTCGATGAGTAGTTTGTGGCATGTTTTGCGGCATATTTTTGTTAAAAATAATAATATGATAAAAAATAATGATAACTAGCATATGGCTGTGAGAATGCCAAGTGTTGAATAGAGGAAGAAGGAGAAGAAGCCAAAGAAAAGCTGAAAAAGACATAGAAGAGTTGAAGAAAAAAGGCTGAAGGGAGGAATAATTTTAAAGAGCTGAAAACTAAAGAGTGGAAGAAGAAAGGTAAAAGGATTAGAAGAAAAGTAAAAAGCCATAAAAATATAGATAAGGTACAAGATTTGACCCAGCGACTTCTGGATCTGCAGTCAAAGGCTCTACCACTGAGATATACCACAGGCTGAAGGGATAAACAGGAACACATAGAAACATTTGAAGGGGCTGAAATGCCAGTGACCAGCAGATGCAGCCATATTTTTTACTCCATTCATTTTTATGTGAGGAATAAGGCATCAAAAGTTAAATATGTTGAAAAGTTGAAAAGATTTCAACAAACCAAAAGACATAGCTGCCTATTCCTGAGATAGCCGATCATTTGGATACCTTATTTGTTGAAATAGGCTGAAAGGTGTAGGAGTAGTTAGACGCAGAAAAACGTACGGAATATGGAATAATAAACAGAAACAGGAAAACAGGCATTCTCACAATTAATAATAAAAATCCAAATGGAAGGACGGGAGAGGGGGCGAGATCGCTGGGAGAGTGTTTCCTCTCACCGACGATGAACAGTTTGAAGCAGAGGGAATCAAAGAGACGAAGGGCCGGCTCTGTTTTCAAAGCCCACTTTCTACCAGAGAATTATGGACATCAGGTGGAAACTTTCTCTGCTCCGACATCCTCAGGACCCCGGGCAATCGGGGCGAATCTCAGCTCAGAAACGAGCCATGTGGGGGGAGGTTTGTCATGATTCTATCAGGTAATTCTGTGCAGATTACTGAGGGAGGCGGTGGGCATTTATGAGAGAAGGATGCAGGGAAACGTGTTGGGAAACAGAGAAAGAGAAGCCTTCACAGGCCAGACACCGATCCCCGTTTACGCACCACTGGTAGCAGGGGGAGGAGACTCTGTCCCCAGGGAAATATTCTTTTCCTTTCCAGAGACAGGGACAGGCCTCGGGCTCGAAGCACTCGTCTCCATGTTTCAGCAGACTGCGGAAAGAAGGACAACAGAAAGGCTTTTATTCTCCGAACATGATGCAGTTTGATCTGACAGTGGGTTTAGGCCAAAGACCAAAAACAGCAGTTTTTATGTCTTGATCTCTGGATGTGCTGCTTAATTTCTTAACCTTTTAAACCTGAGTCAGAATTTCTTTCACTGATGCCTGAGAGTGTGATCGATACACGATCTTTGGTTGACGGTAAACAAAGGGATTTAATGGTTTATGGTTCAAATGTGCCAAAAGTGATCACAACTGGAGATCCAAATGTGCCGAGTAAAGACTGATTCTAAGTTCTGCTGAATTTTTCACACAAATCATCAAACATCAACAGCTTTTTCCATCACCGTCCCAACGGAGGCTTTTAAACTTTTAAAGAAACAAGAGTGAAAGCATCACATCCCTGGTGTGTATTTCTGAGACCAGTCGCACCATCATGTCAAAACTTAGATAGATAGATAGATAGATAGATAGATAGATAGATAGATAGATAG